CACCTGCCTCAGCCTCCCAAAGTGCTGGGATTGCAGGCGTGAGCCGCTATGCCTGGCCAAAAGGTGTTTTTTTTTTTTTTTTTTTTTAATCATGAAGAGAAAATTAGTAGTATTGTTTCTTTCTCTCCCCATTATTTCTTGGTTTTCCTCACTAATCTTTTGTTTAGTCCAAGAGCCAAAAAGATAAATATTTTTTTAGATGTCCTCTTGCTTTGTCGCCCAGGCTGGAGTGCAGCGGCATGATCTCAGCTCATTGCAACCTCCACCTTCCTGGTTCAAGCAATTATTCTGCCTCTATCTTCTGAACAGCTGGGATTACAGGCTCCCACTACCATACCCGGCTAATTTTTGTATTTTTAGTAGAGACGGGGTTTCACTATGTTGGTCAGGCTGGTCTCAAACTCCTGAACTCATGATCCGCCCGCCTCAGCCTCCACAAAGTGCTGGGTTTACAGGCATTAGCCACCGCACTGGGCCGAGCCAAAAATATTTATCTTGGTTCTGCATTTTAATTTCTATTCTTAATTGTAATTTTTCCTTTTTTCTTTAAATAAGGAAACCAATATAATCTCATGTATAAACTTAAATATTTTACAAGTTACGTATAGCATCATTCTAAAATAAGAATTTTTCTTGTTTTCCATCTGCCTTTTTCTTATGTCTCTTGTTGAGTTTTGTATTTCAGTGGTTATTTTTACTTGTGTTTGATCATTATTAAAGTTTATCGTATGTCCACTTGATGCTTGTGCTCTGCTGAGATTGTACAGATTGCATTAAACAGCCCAGGTCTCATCCTTCAGGAATTTTACAGTTCAGTGAGAAGAGGGAGACAAATATAAAGATGAGGACAGAAGCATCTGTACAGAAAAAATTGCATAAATAAAACATTCTCCATCAACAACTAAATGGGTGTAATTTTTGTCAATGCACAAGTAACTGAGTCATGACGGCCTGACATTAGATGGGAAAAAAATGACTCCTCACTTTTGACAGACAAGGGTATTGCATCATTCTCTCAAATGGTGAAACAAAGGGAATCTAGCAAATAAACGTTGGCATACTGTAACCCATGGATCAAACTTGGCCAGCCATGAGTGAGCTAAGAATCGTTACGGCCAGGCATGGTGGCTCACACCTGTAATCCCAGCACTTTGGGAGGCCAAGGCAGGTGGATCACTTGTGATCAGGAGTTCAAGAACAGCCTGGCCAACATGGTGAAACTCTATGCCTGCTAAAAATACAAAAATTAACCGGGCTTGGTGGTGCGCACCTGTAGTCCCAGCTACTTAGGAGGCTGAGACAGGAGAATTGCTTGAACCTGGGAGGTGGAGGTTGCAGTGAGCCAAGATCACACCACTGCACTCCAGCCTGGGTGACAGAGAGATTCTTGTCTCAAAAAAAAAAAAAATGTGTGTGTGTATATACACATATATTCTCAGATCATTATAACATATATGTAGAATTATCTGCAAAGCTACTGTTAAAAAGAAAACAAGCAGAATCCCTGGCCTGCATGGCATATGGAGCACACATTTATATCCTCTCCCTTCTGAGGACCCCGTTAAATTTACAGATAGCAGGTTGGGGGGCATAGCTCAACAAAACAAAGTAGGAGGAGACCATCTGCTCAAGGGTTTCAATAAATTTCTGGAAAGCATCACGTGGGTGGATGTGCATTGACTAAAGAGTGGAGGAAGCTGCTTCATGGAATACTGTCATGATAGAGGAGTTTAGCGACGGCAAAGGCTTTACCACCAAGGAGGTGGGAGAGACAGGGCCATACACTGGGACTTAACTGTAGGTCTTTAACTTGGAACAGTCAACCTTCTCATCTCATTCACCCTTAGAGCAGAATGAGCGAGCCCAAGGATTAAACAGCAAAGGCAGTGCAGGGGGACGCTTCTCTAAATAAATTGGGTAGCCTGGGCGTGGCGACTCATGCCTATAATCCCAGCACTTTGGGAGGCCTCAGCAGGTGGATCACCTGAGGTCTGGAGTTCGAGACCAGCCTGGCCAACATGGATAAACCCCATCTCTACTAAAAATACAAAATTAGCTGGGCATGGTGGTGCATGCCTGTAATCCCAGCTACTCAGGAGGCCGAGGTGGGCGGATCACGAG